CGCAGATGATGTTCCGCAGAGGGTAGAACTTCCTGATTTTCCTTTCTGGCACCAATACTGTGAGTGCTGGCTCCCACAATTCGGATACCAAATCTTTAAGTGGACACTTACTCTTCCAGTGGCCTTCCGTCCAGCATACTGAGCACATTTCTTTACTCGGTGGCAAACTTCCTTTGATCGTATACTGTACTCCATACCTGTTCGTCTTCTCCATACATCCTCTTCCAAGAGGGTAACAGTGCCAATCATCCACCGCCTTACTTTTTCCTTTGACTTCGGCGCTCTTCCAGACCAGCCTGATTCCAAACTTCTTCTCAAGACTTTCCTCGATGGTACGGAATTCTCTCTTCGATCGCAGTTGCCATCCGAACTTCTTTGTGGCGAATACTTCTCCATCAGCATTCGTCGTGAATCCACGGTATGACAGATCCAACAGTTCCTTTCGCACTTTCTCTTGCCATTCAGGAGAGAACGGGTAGTAGGTACATTCCAAGAACCTTTCATCCGACGCGATCTTCTTTTCAACTTTCCAGATGTCTTCGGAAGTGCGTTCTGTCCATTCCTTTCCTGGTTCTTCTTCAGCTGGCTGTTCTCGAAGTTTTCCAGGTGACTTCTTCTGCTCGGACTTACTGAGCTCCTTCTCTTTCTGAGCTTGTTCTTTCTTGAGCTTCTCCTGGAGTCCTGCTGGAATCTGAGGTCTTGCTTTGACTCGAGGGGCTTCAGGTCGTGTACACTTCTCCTTCGCCTGGGTGTACATCTTGGTTCGTTCATCTTCACGGCCAAATTTGATAGCCGCTTCCAATGCTTCCTCCATACTTTTCTGAAGTACTTGGGCGCTGTCCTGAACCTTCTGGAGCGCAGAAATGAAGTCTTCCTGGGCCTTCTCAGAATCCTTGCACGCAGATGCATACACAGCTTCTGCAGCCTTGGACTTCTCTTGCTGCTTTGGCTGTCCATGGATATACTCTTCGACCAGTTCTTGCAGACTTCTGTTCGAACCATGTTCCTCCTTTCTCAGTCTTCTCTGCTTCTGCTGGTACTTGTACTTTGAGGTTCTTTGCACGCTGTTCTTGAGCTCTACGTTCGGCTTCTTCAACAGCTCTGAGCCTTCTGGATTCGTCTTCGAGTTCCTTCTGCTTTCGGGTGCTAGCTTCGACCAGGGCACGCTTCTGCTCCTCCAGCTCTTCAAGCTTACGTTTCCTTGAAACAGACTCGTCATCCTGCTCCATTCCTGTGGATACTTCTGGAGCTGCTTGGGCATCTTCAGCTTGGCATTCTTTCCTGAGTTCCTCAAGTCCAGTCCTTTCTTCTTGCCCTGCCGGGGGACCATATACTGTTCGGGGTACATACTTGAGGTTCGAGATAATTTGGTCGATAAGAGAGTAGAAGTTCGGTCTGTGAGATGGGTCCTGTCGAAGGGCTTTATACTCCTTTTCGAGCAACATGACTGATTCGATACAGCCTGCATGTTCCATAGCCACATCGAGCTTTCTCCGTACTGGATCCCTTTCTGCTTCGGATCTCCAGCTTTTCTCGCGATTTTGTCCAGTTTTCTGTTCCTCTTCTCTTCTTTCCTGGCAGACTTCTTCTCTTCTTTTCGTTCTGCTCTACTTTTGGTTCCTGTGGTAGGCGTAGAGGCTCCTCCTGGACGAGTGACTGGCGTATTTGTCGTTCCACTTCTGTCCACCTTGGGAAGTGCAAGCTTTTCTGTGTACCTCTTCGGGGTAGGTTCGCTTCCCGGTTCTTGCTTCTCCTTCTCAAGAGTTCCAGTCGCTGGTACCACTTCTGCAGGTGTTGCTTGAGGGGAGGCTTCCTTTCCTCCTTCCTCTTCTGGCTTCTCTTCCACACGTTCTTCCTGCTCCGGCTGATTCTCCATTGCAGGGCTACTTTGGGATATTCCCATACAAGATTCCTTTCAATCCTGGGTGGCGAGAGGTCACGCTGCCTTCGGCTTGGGTGAAACTTAAAAGACCGCTTTTTTAGCAGTCCAGGGAGCTTTTGCTCCTATTCCACCAGCTCCACCTCCGCGCTGGTGGCTGGTAGGTCTTTGCCTGAAGCACCAGCTCCTAGCGGCCGCTACTCACCGGCCGGGCTGGTTGCTACAGGCCCAGCTTTTGCCAGGCTCCAGGTCGTGGTTTTGATCGTCTGGCAGCAGAGGCTGTCCCAGACGACCTTCCGGAGTGAGCGCCAGCACCTGCGTTTGGACCAGGATGTGCATAAGCTCATCGAAAGTATCCGCGTCGAACCTTCCCCTGGCCAGCACTCGGAGAGCACACGTGAGGCTCTCCAAGTCAGCGTGGTGCTCATCCACGACGTTCCTGAGGAGGTCCTTAAGGTCCCTGTCATAGCTCTGGACCATATTCCAGAACCCTTGGGCTCTAGTCTTGTTGGGGAAGACCGGCTTTTGCTCAGGGTCGTACGGTTCCCAGCCATTACAGTCCAGGAACACAACTGCGCGGAGAGCCCCTGGCACGCTTGGGCGGAGTTCCCGTATGCCCAAATTATACCTTCCCACATCTTTCACCTTCATGACCTTTGCGATCAGGCACAGGGTGAAAAGGGCCTGGATCACCAGGAAGTCGGTGGGCTCCGGGAAAGGATCAAGCCTCTCACACTCGAGCATGGTCACCCACTTAGGCTCCTGGGCCGCGTCTGTGCCTTCTTCGGTCATCTGGTGAACACCAGCAGCCCTCACTGGGGTAGGAGTCACAGCCCCCAGCACTCTGCACGCCAGCCGCTCCCTCTCTTGAGGGCAGACACTGATCTTCCACACCAGGTTGTCCTGGTGAGGGGCCACAACCACGATCCTGGACCCCCCAAGGCCTAGCACTTGCAGGGGGGTGCTGGTAACACCAGCTTCCTCTCCGCAGTTTGTGTAAGTGACCCGGATCCTTGCGCATCTTGACCACAAACTGCATCGTCTGTGCATAGTCCGCCTTAGGCTTTGGTCCCAAGATCGTCGCAGCAGGGCCTTCTTGGAGCCGTACCGGCTCATAGCACGAACTGGTGTCCTCTGCCTGAACACCACAGGTCCCTCAGGGCTGGCTTCACCTTTGACCTCCTCTTTGACTTCTGAGGTTGCCTGCACCAGGTCCTCCGCGCTGCTGGCCTCCAGTCGTGGTTCCATATCCTGGTCAGCACCAGGCATTGGAATACCCGGCGGAGGCGCCTTAGCTTTGGCAAAACTGGACGTGCCCTCTGTTGCCTTGTTTGTCTCCTGGTTATCACCAGGAGACTTCCTTTGCTCAGGCTGCTGCCCTGGCCCTTCTGTTTCAGAGCTACTGCTACTGATACTGGATTCACCAGTGGATGAGCTAGGGGACTTTGCTTCATCCTGTGGCCGGGCCTTGCTGGTCTCCGGCTGCGTGGTTTCCTCCTTGACAGGCGGGAGGTTTTCCACCGGTGGCTCCACCATCTCCTGGTCATCACCAGGGCTGGGCCGAGCTACACTGCCTTGCTGGCGCTCCTTAGCAGCTGCTCGTACAGTCGCCACGAACCTTTCACGCTTGCTGGGCTCCTGGGCTTCAGCCGACTCCTCCTCTCCAGTGTAGTACGAGTACTCCTCCGCCTCTGTCCTGGGCTTTGCTGCCCCCTGGTTTCAGCACGAGGCGGTTCCTCCACCAGGGACCTCTTCCTGGCAGGCGGTGGGGGAGGAGGGGATTTGCCAGCGCCCTGGTTAGCACCAGGGTCCTTTCCTTCTCTTTTTCCCTTGGCCTTGCCTTTGCTGCCAGGAGCTGGGTCTTTGGCTTTGCCTTTGTGCTTGCCCAGTCCTTTCTCCCGGAGCACTGCAGCCGGGATTGGAAGGTTTCTCGTGACCACTCCTTGGGCTCTTTCACGCTTCCCCGCTCTGTTTTTGTTGTACCACTTTTTATAATCCGAGAGCTCACGTCGAGCCGGGGTGTTGCCTGGTGCCACACCAGGTCGTTCTGCTGAGCCACTGGCCGGCTCCGCTGGCCTTCCACCAGCTTGGTCATTGCCCTGGTTGTCACCAGGGCCTTCTGCTGAGCCACTGGCCGGCTCCGCTGGCATCCCACCAGCTTGGCTATTGCCCTGGTTTCCACCAGGGTCTTCCGCCTCCATGGCACGGCTCACAGCACCCACGCAGGATGACACCTGCGCTGCTGAGCCGAAACTGCAGTTAGAACTGGTTTGCAGACACCGGTTCGAAACTTGAGTTTGGTTTGCTTGCCATCACCCTTGGTTCGGGATTTTGCTTTGGCTTTAGGCTTAGCTTTGGGGCCTACCAAGTTCAGGTCCGCCACACTCTGCCTATGAGGCTTAACAGGACAGCTAGAGCCAGAGTTCTCAGAGCCAGGGGCCTCAGGACTTTCGCTTGTTTCACCAGCATCCCTGTTTGCTGGGGCACCCAGGCTTTGGGCCACACTCTGGTTTGAGACTCGCAGTTTTGGGAGGTCAGGGGATCTAGGTCTTTGCCTGGTAGCAGGCTTCTGGAAGATCCCAGTTTTTGGTGCCGCCTGCTGAATGACGTCTCGTACCCAGAGGTCTTTGCCCTGGTATCTTTGCCGGCACTCCTTGCCAAAACCATCACACAACTTGTCCTGTGCTACCCACTGTTTAACCCCACACCTGGTACACAACCAGGCCTTACCTGCATTCACGATTTTGTGAGTTGCATGGGCTGCCATTGCAAAACTCGGGCCCTGAAACAAGCAGTGGTGATTTATCTTCCTGTCGAAGATAGTGATCGACTCCGTTTGTTGCACATACAGCCCACAGGTGCTGCATTTGATCGTGAGCTGGTCTCTGGACTGATGCCCGACCACCCAATTATGCCCCAAGGCCGGTCGAGCACCATCAAGCATTGCCTCCATCTGCTGCCTCTTGTTCAGCTTGCCTTCACCAGGTGGAGCTACCTGGGTTTTTCTTTTGCGCTGCTTTTGGGCTTTAAAAAGCTTCGTCTGCTTGGGCCCTTTACGAAGCTTCTTCTGCGAAGGTGTATTGTCATCCTTGGAGTCAGGATAAACAACCTGGGGGCCATCAAGCCGATCATATTGAAACATCGCCGCCGTTCTCCGTGCCAACAGGGAATTAACTCTGATGACCACCTCATCCTTGATGAGGACTGCCTGTTCCCAGGCCTCCCTTCTCTCATTGGCTCGGTTTTGCACCAGCCTGTCCACCTCCTCATTGGCCTGCCACCTCCATAGAGAGTCAGCACCAAATTTGGCAATGTATTCCTGCTCAGTGAGGTGGCTGTTGATCCAGGTAAGGGTGACCCGATGCATTTCAGCACGAACCGGCTGAAACAAATCCTCTGACTTCCATCTTGCCGCCCTCTCAGCGAGTTGCTTCACCCCTTTGGCGTCCAAGGCAACCTCAATGTTGCCTTGGACTTTAGCCACCAGGTACGTAATCGCCTTCGCTTCAGCACGAAACACTGTTTGTTCGCAGGTGACAGGTCCTGTAGCAGTGCCAACCACCTGGATCTGGGAGCCCAGGATTCGAAACGCCACAACTCCCCAAGTAACCACTTGGAATCGTGGATCCTGGGATCCCCCAGGGCTACCGTCTGTAGCAAAATGGAGGTCACCTCCATCCAATTCCTGCTGCTGGAAAACCCCAGTTTCCTGAAAAACCTGGGTATACCCCAGTGGCTTGTCCTGTGCAGCAGGGAGGCCTCGCAACCATAGACTATCATCCTGGTATTCTTGCCTGAGCCTTGGGAAGTCTTCTGGTTCCTGCTGGTTTTGGGCCCACCAGCTACAGTCCCACAGCACATGCCGCAGTGTAGCTTCCTGGTTGCAACGACTACACCAGGAGCCCATGCTGTGACGAATAGCACCCTGCCACACTGCCACTAGGGCCTTTTTCTGCAGGCCTTTCACTTGCTTTAGTGCTCTACGTGGGGCCTGCCATTCCACCCCATTGGCCAGCGACTGTCCATCTTCGCTCTGTGAAATGGCCTTCCATCTCCACCCGTCGCAGGTTTTCTTGAGGTGGTAGCTAAGCCCATGGAGGCTGGCTCTGTCCAAAATGTCAAAATCAAAACCACATCCCCGCCATTTAGTGAGTGACGTGGCCGTCCAGCCCAGGGCCTTTAAGTAGCACGCAGCCGCCCCAAAAGGACCAACCACAATTCTCCACGGTTCTTTGTGTCGAATAATGCGGTTGTACCAGTGCTGCCACGCCTCCTCAAGTTCAACAAAGCTACCCTGGTTCCACTTCACCAGGAGCTTGTGAAGAAAGCGGAAGTGCTGGTTGATAATGGTAAAGCTGGGGTCCTCCTGCTTGTCAACGCCGATTTCCAAGACATACTCAGTGGAACCCAAGCTCATTCGTCCCATTACCTGGGCTTGCTGGTGTCTGATCCACTTCAGTCTTTTTGGTGACAATCCTACCGCAACATGCCCGTAAAGCGCCACACTAAGGACACCTTGCTGAAAGGCCTTTACCTTGGGACTGGTCAAGCCTTTTCTTCCTGCCACCACCCTTGTGGAAACGAAGCCGGTGGTTTGTGACACGACGTCTCTTGCCCCACCCCGAGTCAATGCCAAGGTCTCGGTGGATGTCGCGAATGGTTGGATCGCCTTCAAGGAGCAGGTTACCTAAGGCCTTTTCCACCTTTTTGTTGCTGCATATCCACGCTGTCTTGCCAATGCTCAGAGGGAGCTGGGCCTCTTTCAGCCTCCTTTTCGCCTCCTGCCACACTTTAAAAGCTTGCTGCGCACATTGTTTCGGATCATCATGCACAACGTCAAAGCCCGTGTCATCAATATAAAGATCAACATGACACTGTGGCGGCCCTCTCCAAATGGGCTCCACCACATCATGCATCACCAACCCATACAAGATTCCTTTCCTTTCCTGGGTGGCGTGAGGTCGCGCTGCCTTCGGCTCGGGTGAAACTGAGAAGACCGCTTTGTTAGCAGCCTAGGGAGCTTTAGCTCCTATTCCACCAGCTTCACCTACACTGGTGGCTGGTAGGTCTTTGCCTGAAGCACCAGCTCCTACCGGTAGCTACCACCAGCCGGGCTGGTTGCTACAGGCACCAGCTCACTGGTTTACACCAGCCTACTGGTTTTAGCCTGGAGACCCCAGGGCAGGCTCTTTGGCCCTGAGCACCAGCGCTGGTTAGCACCAGCTCTGGCATGCAGGGCTCACCAGTTTGGCCACTGGTACACCAGTAACTGGTACCACCAGTGGCCTTAAGCCTGCCTGGTTGCCCATCCTC